TTGGATGATTTATATTTTTCTTCAGTTTCATTGACTCTACTCTCTAATCTCTGCTGTGGAACTCATTCAGTGAATTTTAAAATTTCAGATTTTGCACTTTTTTACTTATATAACTTCCATTAAAATAATCTCCACTTCTCTACCAATGACTCCTATCTTTGCATTATTCAATTTCAAGAGTGTTTACCGTTATCTCATGGAAGATGGGTAAAACAGTGGCTTTAAACTCTGATCATTCCAATAGCTGGGTCCTCTCAGAGTTGGCATCTGTTCGTTATTATTTTCCCTTGAGAATTTTTCAGATTTTCCTGATTTTCGTTTTGTTGAGTAATTTCAGATTAGATCTTGAACTTTTATGGCATTATCCTGTGAGAATCTGGGCCCTATAAAATCCTCTGGAGAATGCTGACTTTTTGTTTATTTGTATAGTTTAATCAGCAATGAACTTGGGTAGGTCCACACTGCAGGTTCCGTTTCACCTTCCGTGGGACACAATTGTACTGTCAGTTCAGTTTTCAAAATATTTGCTATGCCATTTGGATCTGTCCCTCATGGGCACCACTCAAAGATCAACCTGTGACTAATTCATCACTGCAGGGTAATGAGCTGTGGTTTATGTCTTTATTATTAGTTCTCAAAACCTTGCTGTACTTCTTTGGGTGTGCTCTGTACTGGCACAGCTTGGCTGTAGCCCAGGATTTATGCTGTTTCATATGCAGAATAAGGGGGTTCCTCTCTTCTTTCTCCTCAGTGGTATTTCCCCTATATCATTTGGCTCACAGGGGCCTGTTTTTGTGGTTATTCTGCCAGAACGATGGGACTCCCTCAGAGTTTTAGCTTCCTGTATCATCACACAGTTTCACACAACCAGCCGGCCCTGGGGCGAAGGGGAAAAGACCAGGATTCCTCTGCCCCCTTCAGCTCAAAGGATCCCTTTTCCCTTTGCTTTGGCCAGAATGTGGGCTTTTCTTAGTGCTTTTGTTCTCTGTGCCTGCTGCACACTTCTCTGATTTGGCCTGCCCTTAGGGTCAAAGGTAGGGAGAGAAAGGAGAAAGAAGAGAGCGGGACACAGTGACGCATGACACACGCCTGTAATCCCAGCAGCTGGGGAGGCTGAGGCAGTAGGATCACAAGTTCAAAGCCAGCCTCAGCAAAAGTGAGGAGCTAAGCAACTCAGTGAGACTCTCTCTCTAAATAAAATACAAAGTAGGGTTTGGGGATGTGACTCTGTGGTCGAGTGTCCCTGAGTTCAAGCCCTGGTACCACCCACCCACTTAAAAAATGGCTGGGCATGTGGCTTGGTGGTTAAGAGCCCCTGGGTTTAAAAAAAAAAAAAAAAAAAAAAGGAGAGACCAAGACTGACTCACTCCCACTGTCACTGTTTTTAAGTTTTAGTTCCCTCTGTAGTTTCCCTGCTGTTTACTTTTACCAGAATTCTTGGGTAAAGGCTTTTGTAATGTGTCCAGTGATTCCAGCTGTCATCCATGGGAGATAAAGGCTACAGTGGGTTTACTCCATCTTGGCTGGCATTGGGAGTTGGCTCCTTTTAAAAGTCCTGAACCAATAAGTCATTTGGAAGCTCTGAGCCTGCAGGTGGAGTCTGGTGACCTTTACTATAGGGTGATCTGTCTAAACTATAAATTGGAAAAGGCTCCAGGATCAGTGTCTTCAATCTTTACTTTGTGACTGGGCAGATTCTCCACTGAAAGAGCTTTCCCTCTTCTTCCCAGAGTGGGGAGGCCTGGTGAGCTACTGCTGGAGGCCCCACAGATATGAATGAGGTTCTCAGCCTGCAGCATGCATGTTGTCACAGTGTCTCTATTTTTAGTGTGATTCCACTGTCTTTTCTGGGCCTGTGGCCCCCCCAAACAGAGATATTCTGTCTTACCCTCCTAGAATATAAAAATTCCTGGGTGGTGCAGGTGTCTGCAGCTGGAGAGGCTGTAGCCAGGACCTACACCTTCCTGGACAGGATCCCAGAAGGCCTGCAGGTAGGCATGGCAGGCTAACACAGGCATCTGTTGTCACTCCCTCCTGAGTGACAGGGACTTCAGGCAGCCCTTTGAATTAGCATTCTCTTTATACCTACTTCCAGAAATGCTCAGTGCTGCTGAGGCCTGAGCCTTGGGGAATTCTGCTGCAAAGTCATACTGGCTCTCATTTGACCCCGCAACTGACACAGATTGAGCATTCTCAGTTCTCGTAGGTCCCATGTCATTCTTTCTTCGGTTTTTCTGCTTCTAATGTTTTATTGTTGTCTCTTCATCTAATGTGTCTGCTTTAAAAGATTCTTGTATTGTTGTTTTCCTGAATTTCAGTATTCGTGAATGTCTGTGTTCAACATGCCACCCTTACCTGGAGGCCCAGTACTGCTGCAGGCAGCTGGTCAGCATTCCTGTGATGCTCACCAGGCTTCTTCAAACTGCAAGGGCACCCCTGTAGCTTATTTTTGCTTAAATATGACATGTTCAAGTGCTCTTTCCTTCTATGGGTTTGCTGTAGAAGTGATTTTTTTTTTCACCATGATTTTTATACTATTTAGTTACTGGGGAGCTCTTTTTAACAGGACAGTCATATTAGCCCAGAATTCTAGGGTCAGAAGTGATGAGAAAATCAGCTCACTTCTATGGCCCTGGCACAAATATCTTTCATGTGTCTCATGTAAGAATCCCCATGTTTTATTTCCATCCTGTTTAGTACATTTTGAAAGGATCTTCTGAAAATATGAGGACTATATTTAGAAGAGAGAAAAAGTTTCAGGCTGTTGGGGATTAAAAGAAACTAAACAGATCAGGAAATTGATCTTCCTTCTAAGACGTATCAAAACATCCATTTTGGGTTTTAAAAAAATCCTAAGCCTATGACTATCAATAGCAAATATGTATCTCAGGGAAGAATTAACCAGGGCATCCAGGTGCTGGAACCAATTACAGTTAGAACAAGCTGGGGTGGGGGGGTGATTTGCTCATTATTGGGGTCAGATCTATTTTCAACATAGAAGAGCAAGCTAGATTTCAATGACTAGAGCTTTTTTTAAAAAAAACAACAACAACAATAATAATTGCTATGATGAGAACCATGTGTTGTAAATGTGCTAGTGAAACAAGCACAGGCCAAGAGACAGGGAGCCCAGTGGCCGAATGGCTCTGTGTGCTTCCTAGTCATGGGACCCTGAGCAAGTTGCTGATCCTCCTTGAGCCCAAATTTCCTTTATTGGATATCCACTTAGACACTACCTCACCTGCTCTACAGATTAGATTTGGCAACATCTGCGTTGTATTCAGAACACTATAGGTATTTGGAGAGAGGCAGCAGCAGCAGCATATAAATTTCCTTTGGCTCTTGTTTCTTCTTTGGGTTACACAAAGAAGCAAAGAAAGCAGACCTAGAGTTTGTCTTTGATGAAAGATACTATAAGGAAAGGGTGCAAATTCCACTGTGACTTGGTCTAAGAATCAGAAACAACACAGCCTCTCACAACCACTCCAGTTAGTACCGTCCATGCTTCAGGGAGTGACATCAGAGGTAGAGGTGAGACCAATGCTCCATTGTTCCTTGGTGCTCTTTTATTTATATAGCTGAGGTTGGTAGAGATTTGTAAGATGTACCCACATTCTCTCAGCCAGGCCATCTGAGACCAATGTATGCACAAGGAGGACTTTTTTTTTTTCTTTCTAGCAACTATTTTATAGACCAGGTGATAGATTTTAATTATTCTGTTTAAAGTTATATTTTTATCCTTTTTATTTTTGAGGATATACTAAATGTTCTTTAACCAAAAAACCAAGAGAACAAATGAGAAAGGGAAAGAGAGAGGGATATAGAGTGTATAAAGGGGGAGGTATATTTGGATTAGAAACACTCAGAGGGCTGGGGATGTGGCTCAAGCGGTAGTGCGCTCGTCTGGCATGCGTGCGGCCCGGGTTAGATTCTCAGCACCACATACAAACAAAGACGTTGTGTCTGCCAATAAATAATAAATATTAAAATTCTCTCTCCCTCTCTCACTCTCTCTTTAAAAAAAAATAATAAAAAAAAAGAAACACTCAGAGAACAATTCATATACTTGACACATGGACATATTTAGAGATCTATACTCAATAATTAGTCATATATTCCTCTCAAGAACACATGAAACTTTTTACAAAAATTGACCATGTACTACACATAGCGCACGTCTGAACAAAAATCAAGGAATCAATATCATATACACTAAGTTCTCTTACCACAATGAAATAATCAGAAATCAGGAAAAAAGGATAATTAAAAAAAAATCTTGGACATTTGAAAATCTCCTACCTATTAAAACATTTTTTTCCATTATAATTGAGTGTCAAGAAAAAAAATCATAGTTGGAAAAATAGATAAACTGAATGGTAATGAAAAATGCCACTTGTCAAAACTCAGGCAATGTAACTGAGATAGGGATCTAGGATAAAGACAGATGTACTGAGTTGTAAAGGAAATGCCCACGAGTCATTGAGTAGAGAGTTAGATGTAAATCTTGGGTGATAAGCCCTTAGGCCAGTCCTTGTGAAATAAGGGAAATGCACTGGTGTGAAATTATGTGGCTCCACCCTGCCCTCTCCTCTTCCCAGCCCCTAGCACCCACTCCCTCCAAATATTAACACCCCATACCAACAGGTTGCTGTTTCTCCCTCTGGAGGCAGCCCACATTCTCCCTTGAATGCTTATTTTCTGTTTTACCCCAAAGGCGTCTCTCTCTCTCTCTTAAGATTGTCCACATTCTCCCTTGAATTCTCCCTGCTTCCTAAATAAACCTCTGTCTATGCCTTTGACTGGGCCTGCTGAAATTCTTTTCTGTCATGTATGCAAAAACCCAGTTGGCCCTGAGTCAACTTTCCCATTTTTCTGGGAACTCCTCCGACCCTTCTTCAAAGACATCTCTTCTCCTGTGTCATCTCTAGAATTGTACTTTAAAGAAAAATTGGAGGCTTAAGTTCTTACATTAGAAAAGAAGAAAGGCTGTGTGCAACCAGAGATATGAAAAATTGTGCTGTATATGTGTAATATGAACTCTAATGTATTCTGCTGTCGTATATAACAAATTAGAATAAAAATATGAGAAAAAATAAAAATAATAAAAAGGGCTGGGAATATGGCTTAGTGGTTGCATGCCCCTGGGTTCAATCCCTGGTACCAAAAAGAAAGAAAGAAAAAGAAAAAAAGCTTATTTTATGCATGTTTATATTATATTTTGATTTGCAGAGATAAAATCTAATATCTTTAAAAAAAGAAAAGAGGAAAGGCTGAGAGTTGCTAAGGGAAGCATCTAATTTAAATAAGAAAAAGAATAGTAGAAAATACGCATTAATATTCTAGTTGTTTTCTTACTATAGAGAGAATGCATTTATAAAAGAAACAAGAACAACAAAACAAGTCTTCCTTCTGCTATAGTGTTGCTGGGTATTCACATATTCACAGAAATCTGTGTCCTTACCTTCCAATCTCATTCAGCTCAGTATAAGCGGAATCAAAATTTTCCTTCCAAGAAATGGTGGCACCATCTGCGGCCGCATCTTTGGGAGAGAATCCATTTGTGACATTGAGGTGTCACATGAGAATAAAGAAAAGGTCAGCAGAAGAGCTCCATCATAACTCCAAGGCAATTCTCATGACTAAATATGGAGGCTACCTCAGTGGGAAAATGCTTCAATTCTCTGGAATGTTATTTTGAAAATATCCCAGGGGAAACCGACATGACAGACTCCCTCTGTCATCTACTTAATCAACAGGGAAAACTCAGACAATCAGAAATGTAGCTTACGAATGTTTTAAAATAGGAATTTAGTAGAAAATATAAATATGGAGAGAGGAAAACACTTTGAAGGCCTGGAAAGGTCAGTGAGAGCCAGAACTACAAGGGGATGTGAAGAGAGAATGGGTGGGGGAGCTTTCAAGGTCAGGGAAGGAGAAAAGGAAAGGAGAGTGTCCATGGCCTTCTACAGACTTCTCTGACTCACCCCACTGTCTTCAGGCCTTCATGAGCTTAGCCAGTATATTGAATGATTTAACTCAAACATGCCTGAGCCAACTCGAGCAGCTTCACCACATATAATGTGCTAATTTCCTGCTAATTATTCATGCACACTTGTGTGCATGCATGCCCATCTGTATTTGTCTGCTGGGATCCAAGACTCCAAATTAGCAAAACATGAAAGGCACTGGGCACTGTGAGCCAGACTGAGTTAGTGGCTTGGGAGGAGATGAGCCCAGCAGTTACCTCAGGCTGCCCACAGGCAACCTGGCCAAGGCAGGTTGGCCAGGTAGCTTATTCATATTGAATGCCGAGGACACCAAGATCCAAGGCCATGGTTGCCCAGCAAGTCCCTGGTGCCTGGGAACAAGTCAATGTTGCTGGAAGGGAACTGACTAGGCTGGGGTGGGGCTGTCAGACAGATTCCCAGATTCAGCAGGGGAGGGTGTAGCCCAAGATGCTTGAGGGACTCTGGACTTTCCTTAACCCAAAGAGCCACAGGCCTGTTGTTGCCTTTAAGTACAGTGACACACTCAACTCTCTCTTGTCCCAACTATAGAGATCACCTCCCTGCACTGCCTGAAATCTCATTCTGGAGATTTCTTCAGGTTGCAAGTTTCTTCTTTTAAAATGTCCCTGGGACCAAGGTGGGTAAACTAAGTAAATATTATTATAAAATATTCATGTTTGGGCTGGGGCTGTAGCTCAGTGGTAGAGTGCCCGCCTCGCATGTGTGAGGCACTGGGTTCGGTGTGAGGCACTGGGTTCGGTCCTCAGCACCACATAAAAATAAAGATATTGTATCCATCTACAACTAAAAATAAATAAATAAATAAAGATTTAAAAAATTAATGTTTGGCTACTTATATATATATCTTTGATAATTTCTAAATAAATCTAAAATAAAAATATATTCATGTTGAATAAAGAAATTCCAGTAGATTGTGGTGGGCCAGGTATCAAACATTCATTTGGTAGTGAAATCCTCATCCAGGTTGCTTTTTTTTCTTACTTTAAGTTGGCATGTGGGATTGTCCCTGGCACTATGAGAAGTGCTTCAGCCTGGCAGAGTATCCAGGGAATAGCAGGCTTGGTATTCTTCTCTCAGAAGATGACCAGATAGCACCCCTATGACTCATGACCCCAGCCTGTCCCTTTCTGTTCCTGGAAATACACCTGGTCCTGCAGGGAGCCCGGCAGGCCCAGGGTGAGCAGGGTAACAGCTAACCTCTGCTCCAAGATCCCTACAGTCACACCTCATGTAAACACTTCATCAATCTTCTAAATGGTTACCTGACTGAAGTTGCCAAGCAGCTCTGGGTCACCCCTCTCATGATGGGCTGATGTGACACTGAGCAGCTAGTGTGTCTAGGAGAGTGGGCCGGGTGCTGGCCTCCACTACACAGGGGTCGTAGGCCTGGTGGGACTCACCGTACTCTGGAAGTCGGACGAACTCTGAGGGTTCACTGGGAAGACTGATTCCCCAGGGGTTGCTGGCACTGACTCTGAACTGATAGGGACACCCAGGACTGAGGTCTTCAATGACAAGATAAGTGTCCAAGGTTGAAGCTACTGACTGCTGCCAGACCTGGGAACCTAGTGCATAGTTTCCAAGGAGAGAGAATGAGACAAAGCCAAAGTCACATTGTTTCAAAGACTTTCAACAAACAAAGAAAGGAAAATGGACACATTCAAACCAAGGGACAGTCCTGGACACTGCTCCAGGCTCTGAAAGCCTGTGGACTAAGATGGGTGGCAGGTTTGGGTCCAGTGTCTTAAATTATTAAATAAACGTTCATGGTCATTTCTGTTCCTTCTCAAACGTGTGAGAGGGAAAAGACATAGAGAATACTGACTTTATACAGGAACATGGGGTCAGTGCTTAATTAGACTGGAAGAAAATATTATAAATCTATAACAAGCAGAGTTTCTGAAAGAGGAGGCGGCTCAGGTTCATAACCCTGAAGGACCTTGGGAGAGGGAGCCAAGACAGAAGAAGAACAGGGTGGCACACCTTCCTCCCGGTACTCCACAGTGTAACCTGAAATGGTGCAGTTTCCTGTGCTGGCCGGGGGCAGCCAGCGGAGAATCACAGAGGTGCAGCTCCTCTCCTGGGCAATGGGGCGGTTGGGGGCTGCTGGAACACCTGTGGAGACAGCAGAATCCAGAGCTGCTTTCTGAGCTTGCATTTCACACCCAGATGGAGTGTACCCAGGAAATGTGACCTGGCTCAAATGTTTCCTGGGACCTTCTCCACCAAGTAGCATACCTGTTTCCAGACCCAAGGGAGACCTGGGAGCCGCCCCCTGCTTTCTGATGTCTTTCTCAGGCAAAATGCCACACACTGGGGGTGAAGCTTTTTCTGGAACTATGCAGGAGGCTATGGTAGGGCACAGACAGTTCTTAGAAAAATGCTCTTGTTCTCTCCTCATTGGCTAGAACTCTATTTTGGAATTTTCACACAGGATCTCAGGTCTCAGGAGTCCTTGTCATGTTCATTTAAAATGTTTGACTAACACAAATTCATAGGGACAGAAAGGAGAATGGTGGTGGCCAGTGCTGTGGGGAAGGAGGAACATGGAGCTCCTGTTTAATGGGGAGGAGGGAATTCCAGGTTGGGAAGCTGACAAGAGTTTTGGAGGGAGATGGCGGTGAGGGCCGCACAAAGATGTGAATGTGTTTCGTACCACTGAACTGTCTGAACATGGTTAGGACAGCAAGTGTTATGTTGTGCATTACTACAATTAAAACACATGTTAAAAATAGCATATCTAGGGTGGCTCAGTGGTAGAGCACTTGCCTGGCACGCATGAGGCATTGGGTTCAATCCTCAGCACCACATTAAAAAAAAAAAGGTATTATGTTCATCTACAACTAAAAATATATTTTTTAAAAATAGCATATATACATATAAAGAAAAAGACTGTACCTTGCACCTTAACTGTGGCAGATGTGGATGCAGTACCGTGGTCATTTGTTGCTATGCAGGTATAAATCCCACTGTCCTGTGGCATCAGATTGCAGATCTTCAGGGTGATTTCCCCAGAATCACTAGAGACACCAAAGGGATGTCCTTCAGACTCCAGTAATGAGACAGTTGACTGATGGGTAAAATCCATAAGGTTGGCACAAGGTGTGCTGACCCGAGAGTCTGGGGGCCCAAGGTCTAGACCTGTTCTGTGACCTTTGTACACACCTTGAAGGATCACCTTGCTTCTATCCTCATTTCCTTATATGGCCAGGCCCATCTCCCAAATTTATTGTGAGGGATAAAATAAGGAATGAAATAAGAAGAAATTAAAACATGGCTTGATATACATAAAGTCTGGCTGGACTCAGTGGCGCACGCCTGTAATCCCAGCAACTTGGAGGCTGGAGAAGGAGGCTGGCAAATTCAAAGTTAGCTCAGGAACTTAGTGAGAACCAGAAAAAAAAAAAAAAAGAAATACACAAAGTCCCTTCCAAATACCTGTCTGCAATATAATTAGTATATCCACTGGCAACTTTGTCCTAAAAATAACTTCAATCTCACAGATGAATAATGAATGGTATGAGAAAATGGAAAGACCAAATAATGAAAATGTTCAAATATTTAAAATCCTACCTGAGGGACCCTCAAAATAACTAAGTGAATTAAAAAGGTAAATTTTTTCCACCTAAAAGATGACTCTTCTCCCCTTGGGGTCAGGAACACCCCAAGGGAAGAAACTTGAAAGGGTTAAATCAGAAGCCCCATCAGTTCCACTCCCTCCCCCTGGGTTGGGACATTCTGGGTTCTTCATGATCCTCATCAAGCACCAACTGGCATTAAGCTCCTTGAGCTCATGGAGTTTTATGACCTGCTGGGAGTCTGCTGGGAACACTAAGGAACAGTGTTCTTTTTCCATTTCAAATGTGCGCAAAGGAAGTCAAAGAATGAAAGTTTCTTAATTCTAGGTGTTCCTTCCATTAGTGATTGTTAGGCTGTTAGGGCTTGCCGTTAGTGCTTTCTCTTATCCACTGTAATCAAGAGGACACAACAAAGCTCCTAACTAACAGCAATAAATGTCAGCAGAATGATTGGGAGGCAGTAACTAAGTTTTTTGTTTTTTTTTTTTGCGGGGTGGGGATACTGCAGATTGAACTCAGGGGCACTCAACCACTGAGCCACATCCCCAATCCTGTTTTGTATTTTATTTAGAGACAGGGTCTTACTGATTTGCTTAGGGTCTCACTGTTGCTGAGGCTGGCTTTGAACTCGAGATCCTCCTGCCTCAGCCTCTTGAGCCACTGGGATTATAGGTATACGCCACAGAGCCTGGCAGTGATTAAGTTTTGACTGACAAAAACCAGGCTTTTTGTGTAGAAGCAGGCTGGTGGCTTATTTTCTACTGTGCATGGTGTGTTGGGTCGATTTTTTCCCCTTCTTATAAAATTTTTCTTAGGCAAGAAATTAACTATATCACTGTTTCAAAGCATCCTGAAGGCACAAAACTCATCAGGATGTCCAGATTTGAGGACCACATTCCTAATACTAATAACTAATTCCTAATAATTCCTAATTCCTAGCCTGTCCCTTGGTCAGGAGTGTTCACCACTTCTGACCCGGAGAATCCTTAGGGCAGATCATCTAATAGGGTGACTCTAAGGCAGGGAATGTAGAAGCTTTCTGAATGTATGGTGCATGCCTGACGTGCAGTGTGACTTTGCTTCTGCATTTGTTTAATGTGGGTCCAGAACAGTCTTTCCAAATGGTTCTGGTTGGCCCCAGGTGTGTCTACATGGTACCAAGCAACATGAGCAACGCAGCCCCAGACACCCAGGCTGAGAGACAGGTGGCAGTGTGGGCAGCAGGGCTGGGCTGAACACTTGCAGCACCGAGTGCTCTATTCAGTGGGGCTGAGCTAACCCATAGGTTTTGACTCAATCCCTCCTAACCAAGGCCAAGTGTTTGATCTAGAATAGACTCCACAGCAGCTCTTGTCTTGGAAAGACTAGTAACCAGAATAGAGGCTGCACCCTGATTCAGCCTCTGGGTGCTTCACTAAAGTGTCAAGTTTGGGGCCATCGACTTACCAGGAGGAGACGGTATATGTGGCTGAGCTGTTGTCAGTGTCGAGGATGTTCTGGTCTGGACCCTTCCAGGTGATGGTGGGTTTCGGCCGCCCACAGACTTTGCACTGGAGCATCACTGTGTCCCCAAGCAAGCAGGTCACATCCACTAAGGGCACAAGGAACTCTGGGGCCACTGTGATCAAATCAACATACATTCACATCATTCACAACAAATTTAGAATAAAACAGGCATTTTTAAACGTAGTACTCTTATCTCCACTCATGTTGTGTACAAATTCAAATAATGTGCAGTCTAACACTTTTAGGTCACCTGTGTCCCTTTAAAGAGTATTTTAAGTAAATACTTATTGTACAAAGGTAGAAAATATATAAAAACAAAAAGTGGGGGAGCTCCATGATATCATAATCCAGAGATAACAGCTGTGAATATTTTGTTATATATTCTTTTTAAAAAATATTTTGTTTTAATTGTAATTGGACATAATACCTTCATTTTATTTTTATGTTGTGCTGAGAATTGAACCCAGTGCCCCACATGTGCTAGGCAAGCGCTCTACTGCTGAGCCACAACCCCAGCTCCCTGTCATATATTCTTTCAGGCTTTCAATTAAAAACATTTTTACCAAAATTTATTTCATATTTTTTATTGCAAGTTGCAGGGTTTTTTCACTCAATAATTAATCATAAAAAATTTTCCATGAATACAGAATTATGTCACTATTGCTTAAAGTCTCTACCTTATTTGGGAGAGGGGTTTAGCCTCAAGCTACACCCCCCCAATCCTTTTTATTTTTTATTTTGAGACAGGGTCTCACTAAGTTATTGAGGCTGTCCTTAAACTTGAAATCCTCTTGCCTCAGCTTCCCAAATTGCTGAGATCACAGGCATGTGCCATCATGTACATGTGTCTCTACCTTATGCTCAATGTCCCATACTTAATTTAGCTAATCCCCACATTCTCAACTCCACCCTTTTTTAACTCACCTTCTTGGATGAAATTTGGATTTAAGATCTGAAAAACACAAAGAAATAGAAAATTGCTTGAATCCTAAACTACTGAGAGAGGACAAGAGATTTTTTACTCTAGAAAGTTAAAAAGAAAGTTACCATTCAGGGAGATGCAGCCTAGAGCCTAGCCTGTCCCTTGCTATGATGTACTGCTGTCACAGTAACAGACCCCTCCTCAACAATGAGGGCACTTATGCTACTCTCCTGGTAATTGGGTTGGCCAGGCAGGTTTATTATCATTTGGAATTTGGCTAGCTGCCTGCTCCTCAGTGGCCTTCCTCCCTTCAGTATTTGCTGAGGCAATCAAGGTATCAATTCTTCCAGCAAAATTTCAAAAACAGAGTACCTAAGACCTGTCAAGCTGCATGGGTCACTGAAATGAACTCACTCAAGTGATTTCTTTGCACAGGTCCTCCCAACCTCCAAGCAGGGGAAACTTCCCTCCAAGCAGCTAAATGCAGATCTTCTCTAGTTGAAGGGGAAAAGAGAGGCCCAGTCTGCCCATCCTGTCCCAGAACAGCCTCTTGCAGCACAGGCCTCCAGAGGGCAACCTGAAAACAACTGAACTAACCCTTCTGATCCTTTGCGATGCCTGGGCGAGCAAATGGCCCACTGAGTGACTTGCTAGTCCCACATAGGGGGAGAAACTGCTAGAGCTCTTGTATACACCAAGCTGCCTGCCTCAGGCAACCTGATCTTCTACAGAAGGGAGAATGTTCTAGCTGACTAGCCATTCTGGAAAGTTACCCCTTCTTGAGAGGATGGGGACTTTGACCCCCCAACCCCATCTTTTGTATTACTTCTAATCATGCAAGTACAGGTCCAGGTCATAATGCCTAGCGTGGTGAAGCATTGACTTTAGAGTCCACGAGGCTGGGGTTGCCTGTTTCATTTCATGTGGTTGTATGATCATAACTTAACACTGACTAGCTTCCACTTCCTCCTAGTAAAATGTTATCACAAAGATTAAATGAAATCATGTATATTAAGTGCTCAGCACAATGCTTGGCAAATAACAAGTACTTTACCTGTTCAAATAAAGATCAATTATTTTTTAAGAATATTTTTATTTGTTCTTTTTAATTACACATCGAAGTAGATTGTATTTTGATGTATTATACATATATGAAGTATAAATTCCCATTCTTGGGGTTGTACATGACGTGGAGTTACACTGGTAGTGTATTCATATATGAACATAGGAAAGTTATGTCCGATTCATTCTACTGTCTTTCCTATTCCTATCCCCTCTCCCTTCCCTTCATTCTCCTCAGTCTAAGCAAGTGACCTTCTATTCTTTCCCTCACCCCCATTGTGTGTCAGCATCCACATATTAGGGAGAACATTTGCCTTTTGGTTTTGTGGTGATTAGCTTATTTCACTTAATATGATAGTCTCCAGTTCCATGCATTTACTGGCAAATGCCACAATTTCATTCTTCTTTATGGCTGAGTAATGTTCCATTGTATATCATATACCACATTTTTCTTTATCCATTCATG